GGAGGGGAGGGGAGGAGCAGGTATCACAGAAGGCCTCACAACAGCAATTCATGGAACATACAGCACAGTATAAACATCGAAAGAAACCCTACCTAAACAAGGTGGAAGATGAGAAGGTCAGTTGTCATCTGACCTCCACCATGGCACAAACATGCCCCTACTCACATACACATCACACGTGAGCATCCGGTTTAAAGACTATGGTTTGCATGCAGAGCACTAAGACTGCATTCTCGGATAGGATATCCCTGTGTAGCCCAGGATGGTCTGCACATACTTTGCAGCACCTCATTACCAGAGGAAGTAAGGAAATGCAGTCCAGCCTCACTATCAGCAGCATGAGGAATTCCCATTCTCCACTAGGGGCCTCCAGTCAGGAAACGTCAAGTTCTTGACCATGCATTTCAGAAAAGGATTTCAGGATGAAGCCCAGCATAGAGGCACACACATGTAAAATAGAGGAAACAGGAGCTTAAGGTCATCCTCAGCTATAGCAAATTCAAAGGCAACCTTCAGACTTTGAGACTGTATCATAAATAAATAAGTAAACAAACAAACAATGAATTTCAGGAGCCAGAGAAAAGCAAGGTTTGTGAGCTTATAAAACAGTGACCAGGCATAGTGGCACACACCTTTAATGTCAGCACTCAGGGGGCAGAGGCAAGCGGATCTCTTTGAGTTTAAGGCCAGTTCAGTATGCATAGTGAGTTCCAGGACAGCCAGGGCTGTCCCTGTCCAATGAAAATAAAAAAAGACAAAGAAAGAATCATGGATAGAATTCTAGGGTCAACCCCAAGTCAGCTCTGCAAAACTCCAGACCTATGTATGTTCACTTGCTTATTGACTGTTGCACTTAAAGTCTAATAAGCCTCTCCAGCATTAACTGTCAAGATCGAAATAAAGTAAAACAAATACATACATTTAAAATATTTTTTAAAAATAAAATTTAAGTAAAGTGCATTTACTTAGATTTTAGGTATGAGAAAGAGTTAAACTCAATGTCACAAATATTTTGGCCGTAAGAAAACATAGACTGGTTTTTATTTTAATTACATATATTTAATTAAACATGTACATGTATGTGTGTACATGTTTGGGCCTGCATGTGAGATGATGGGCTTGTGGAAGTCAGAGGACAATTTGCAGGAGTCAGTCCCATCTGTCTGAAGCAGGCATGAATAGGAGATGATTTAGCTTAGGACCCTATTTGAGTTTGGATTATAAATATACATATAATACATCTTGTAACAATGCACTTGACACCCAGCTCCTTCACCTGTATGTACTATGCACACATGTCCCTCTCCAAACAATAGACCTAGCAAGCTAAAAACCTCAACCCCCGGACTGCATCAGGCTACACATACTCCCATCTCTGAACAGGGGTTTCTCCACTCCTAATAACAATCAAATTTAGACAGTTTCTATTTAAGTGTGTGCCCAATGTATTCAGATATGAAGAACAGAAGGGCCGACCTGTTCTGAACTGGTTTTGGATGATGTGTAGCAAAGCAAAAGATCTAGAAAAGTTTTAAGGAGAATCCCCTATTTACCATCTTATGCCTATGCATAGCTGTGTGTGCATATTTCTAAAATCAAATACATTATAGGAAGAGACATGTGCACTAGGAAATGTCAATATATGACCTAATCTGTCAATCACAGTAGAGAACCACCTGAACTACACCCCTTAGTAACCAGTCCCACCTTCCTTTAGACCCAATAAAAACAGACCCCAAGGTGCAACCTGGGCCTGTGGGTTCCCCCTCAGGTGACCTGCTGCAAATTGTAACCATTTCCTAGAGGGATACTCCATAAAATGTATTGCTTTGCTCTAAATAAAGTTATCTTGCTTCTTTTGCAAATCTTTGTGAGCCCTTACCTATGAGATTGAGTGAGAAATGTCTTCCATAGGCTCACAATTGGTCCCTAGTTGGTGGTGCTCTTCGGGAAGGTAGTGGGTGGAGCCTTGCTGGAGGAAGTACACCACTCAGGGTGGGCTTTGAGAGTTACAACCTTGCTGCACTTAAGTTCCCATTCTCTGCTTCTGCATGTGGCGTGATCTCTAAGTTTCCTGGTCTGGCTGGTCACTTTCGCCATGCCTCCTTCCCATTGTGCACTCTCCCTCCAGAACTGGAAGCCAAAATACACTCTTCCTTTCATAAGTCAATTTTAGTCTAGTCTTGGTATTTTATCACAGCCACAGAAAAGTCCCGTCTTATTCAATTATTTGAGTAAGAGGTCATAAACATAGAAACACTCAACATTGACCCTGCCCACCCAACTCCAACTACTAGAAACACTTATACCACATGAGAGTCCCAGGGATCAAACTCAGGTTGTCAGACTTGGTGGCAAGCACCTTTAACAGGCTAAGCCAGCCAGCCCTTTTCTGGTTTTATGAGTCAGTGACTCATGTATCTCAAATTGGCCTTGGACTCTTTTCTCACAAATTGTGGGATTACAGGCCTGCCCCACCACAAACAGCTTAGTTTGTTGTTTTTCTTTCTTTCTTTCTTTTTTTAAGATTTATTTATTTATTTTCTATACAGTATTCTGCCTACATGATTGCAGGCCAGAAGAGGGCACCAGATCTCATTACACATGGTTGTGAGTCACCATGTGGTTGCTGGGAATTGAACTCAGGACCTCTGGAAGAACAGCCAGTGCTCTTAACCTCTGAGCCATCTCTCCAGCCCAGTTTGTTGTTTCTAACATCTTCCTTTGAGAGGTCTTTAGGAAGGGAGCACTATCTCTGTAAGCAACTTTGGCACCTTTGGTTATTTTGAAATTTCAACTCTCAGCAGGAAAAGCAAACTAGATCCCTGATCAGGGGCAACTGTCACTCCTTAATTCTCTGCCTTTTTATCATGCCTCAAAATGATACCTAAATAGAGGCACAGTAGTGCACACCTTTAATCTCAGCACTCAGGAGGCAGAAGCAGATTGATCTTTGTAAGTTCGAGGCCACTCTGGTCTACAGAGCTCCAGGATAGTCAAGGCTACATAGAGGGACCTTGCCTCAAATAATAAGAAGATACCGAATGTTACAATAATATAATTCCAGTCTGTGCCCTACTTTACTCCATCATCATGTAAATCAGTGGTTTTTCACATTTGGACTGTTTTTCTTGCCTTGAGAGATTCTGTTTTACAAGCAGCTTTTGACTCTATTTTGAGGGTATCTGATTGTACTCCTCAGTGGACCCAAAGCATTATCTATTCAGCACCACTCATCAGCACAGACTGATAAATGACTTAGTCCAGGGAATACAAAAAATGCTACCCTATAAATTTATTGGGGGTGAACTGAGACTAAGGATAGATGGTTGCATTAATATATTTTTTTCTTTCTTTTTCTTTTTGATTTTTTGAGACAGGGTTTCTCTGTGTAGCCCTGGCCATGCTGGAACTCACTTTGTAGACCAGGCTGGCCTCAAACTCAGAGATTCACCTGCCTCTGACTCCCGAGTGCTGGGACTAAAGGCGTGCACCACCACTGCCCAGGAAAGGTGTATTAAAATCTTATCAGGAAAAACGAGCCCAACAACTTTGATGAGACATGGCAGACCAAGGAAGAAGGTCTAATTCCCTCATCTGGACCCTATAGAGTGACTAACACTGAGATGGCAATGGCCTCCACACTGCCCTCAAATACGTCATGGCAATCCTCCTGCCTCAGCCTCCAGAATGATGGGATCACAGGTATGCACCACCCTACTTGTTTACTGTTTGGGTTTTTGTTTGTTTTGTTGAGGGATGATCCGTTGTAGGAGAGGCTGGCCTTGAACTCCTAGTTATCTGCATCAACCTCCGGAGGACTTAGCACCTTTCTTCGAAGTCTATGCAGCCCAGGATAGGCTCAAATTTGCATTTCTCTAGCTTTAATCTCGAAAATGTAAGGATTACAAACACGAGCTACTGACAAGCTTCTTTTAAGAAAGGGCCTCAGATTGCCCAGGCTGGCCTCGAACTCCCATGCGCTGAGACGAAGGGCCTGTACCACCACGTCGGCTTTGTTTGTTTGTTTTTTGAGACAGGGTTTCTCTGTGTAGCCCTGGTTGTTTTGGAACTCACAGAGATCCGCCAGCCTCTGCTTCCCAAGTGCTGGCATGAAAGGCGTGCGCCACCTCACCGGGCCATCACGTCTGCTTTAACGAACTTCTAAGTAAAACATTTTTAGAAGCTGGGCTTAGGTTCCCTACCGAAGAAATGGGTGACCTTTTTCCACATATAACAAAAAGAGATGAGAAGTGTCCGTCAGTAGCTCACCGTGAGCAAAGACGAGAGCCCTGAGCTTACACCTGCCTGGAACGAAGAGGCCTTGACGTGGTCGTCAGCGTCCACCGTGTTTCCCACACACAGAACCCCAACAGCGTTCCAGAGGAACCAAAACAAAATGAGCCTCAGGACTCCGCCCCAACGGGGCCTGCAGAGCCCGAACCTCGCGAGATTTGCTGGCCGGGTCAAATCCCCGCCCACCCACGGCTCGCGACCGCGGGCGCATGCGCAGCTCTTCAACGGCGAGGCTTGCGGGAAAGATGGAGTGTCCTACGCCTAGTGCTGCGGAGGCTGCGGACCCTGGAGGGGCCGGACCGTGCAACAGCTCCGAGGAGCAGGAGGGTCGGGAACCGGACGGAGTGCGCTTCGACCACGAGAGGGCGCGCCGCCTGTTGGAAGCTGTGTCCGGGGCGCAGCCGGCGGGGAGGGAGGAAGGTGAGTCGGGGGGCTCGGTGATCGCGGCTGGACGGAGGCGGGACGGCCTGCCGCCGGTCCCTGCCCTGGCGCGGGCCGGCCTCTGCACGACGTCCCGGAACTCCAAACTCGCTCTCGGGAAGAGTGCAGAACCTCGAAACTCGCCACCCTGCGGAATATTTCCGCCCTCCTTTCCCATCCCCCCGAGGGCAGGTTCCCCCAAATTCCAGGTCTTGTCCTCTTGGAGATCCACAAGACTTTCCCAGCCTGACCCGTAGCCGAGCCAACTACCATTCCTGTCTGCGCTTAATTCCACATCTCCACATTGCTTCCCTTCCCTCACAAAGCCCTACAGTTCTGACTGATAGGAATGGCTTTATTCAATTTACTTTATTTTTATTTATTTATTGCGACTCCTCACAAACTCGTGGCGGGCCTCCTGCCCTGTGACAGGTCTGAGCTTTGGAAGGTTTACCTGAATCCCAGCTTCCTCCTGAGCTTGATGACTATGTCCTGGATTGCCATATTTCTTTCTTGGTAGACCTGGCTAGCCTTGAACTTACCTCAGCCTCCTTAGTGCTGGCATTACTGGCTTGCAATACCATACCCTGCAATACCATGTTTCCATGTGCCTGTTGCCAAAGAGGAGATCCAGGAGCTGCTTCATCTCACACTTGATGCAAAATTGTGGAGAAGAGTGCAGCTGGGGTTCACTTCTGAGCTGAAGTTAACAGATGGCTTTGTTTGACCCAAACCGGGTGGGTAAGAAGGGAGACGAGAACAGGAAGAGTCCGCCTCTTTCACAGACCTTTCCAGAGCTAGCTACTTAATGCTAACCCAAATGTACGAGAACTGTATCTGGGTTTCTGTGCTAATCAGGTCTCTGTAGAGAAACTGGATTTCTGTACAGTTGGTTTGCTTGCTGAGCTAAAAGATTTCTTTTTAATTTTATGTGATGAGCTTTTGCCTGATCGCGCCAGGTACCCAAGGAGGCCAGAAAAGGGCATCACATCAACTGGAGTTGCAGGCCATTATGAACTACCATTTGGGTGTTGGGAACTGAACCCTGGTTTTCTACAAAAGCAGTAACTGCTCCTAACTGGTGAGGGACGTCTCAGAATTGAGGATACACAAAAACGAAGTGGCCTTGGAGATGGGAAGAGCGTGCCCTGGACTTTGAAGCAGTGAACACAGCAGCTGCTTAATGAACTATTCGCTTATATATGCATGAGCTATATAATACATATAACCCAGTTCATTTCCCTGTCGTCACTTTTCTAGTCTCACATACCTGCAGCATTTACATTCTACCCACTTTATTATAATTTATATATCATAAATTCAACCATTACAGCTGTACCACTCAATGATTTAAATATGTCTTTTATTTTAATTATGGATAGGTGTGTATCCATGTCAGAGTACATACAGATGTATTGAATTCCTTGGAACTGGGGCTACAGACAGTTGTGAGCCAACATGGGTGCTATGAACCAAACTCGGGTCCTCTAGATGAGCAACACATGCCCTTAATAGCTAGCCGTCTCTGCAGCCCCCAACTCAATGATTTATTTATTTTCTTACATTTATTTAGAGAGTGTGTGGTATGCATGCCCACACATGTACCATGGTGTGTATATGGAGGTCAAAGAACAACTTACAGGAGTTGGTTCTCTCCTTCCACCATGTGGGTCCTGAGGATCAAACTCTGGCTCTTAGGCTTAATGGCAAGTTCACTTACCCAGCCAACCATCTCACCAGCCCCTAGTCAGAGATTCTCAGTAAAAGTAGAGACTTATGTAGTCATAACCACAATCCAGTTTTAGAAGATTTCCATCATCACAGGTGGTATCCATCTCTGCTTTCTCACACCTGCCCCAGGTAACCACTAGTGTTCTCTGTCACCACAGATTGGCCTTCCTCAGCCTCTCGTACAAACAGAATCGTTTAGTCTTTTGTGTTTAGCTTCTCTCTGCGTGTTTTTGGGGCTCAGCCAAGTCACAGTGTGTGTTCCTTTTTGTTGCTAAATAGAACTCTGCTGGGACTGGAGAAATGGCTCGGAGGTTAAGGTTAAGAGCACTGGCTGCTCTTGCAGAGGCCCTGGGTTCAATTCCCAGCACCCATATGGCAGTTCACAACTGTCAGTAACTCCAGTGCCAGGGCTTCTGATACCCTCACACAGACATACATGCCGTCAGAACACCAATGAACATAAAATTTAAAAAATTAAATAAAATTAAAAAAAAAACCCTCTTCTGTATGGGATATTATATTTGCTTGTACATTTGCTATTTGGAATATAGGTGTCTGGTTTGGACCTCTTCTGAGAAATTCTTTTGGAGGGGGCCCTCATTATCTAGCCTTGGCTGGCATAGAGCTCACTGTGTAGATAGGATGACCTCAAAACTACAGTAATCCTCCGTGTAGTAGGTAGCCATTCCAGCTTTGATCTGGAAGTTCCAACCCCCATTGAGGCTTCGGTCACTGTCACACCTACAAGGCGGGGCCGAGAGAGAGACAGAGACAGAGAGGGGACTCTGAAGACCCGAGATCAGGATGCACCGCCTCTCTTGGTTCCTGGACCCTAGACGCTGGAGGTAAACACCACTGGACTGCGTTATGTCTTTCCCAGACCCTGCAACCTACCTATCACTTCATTTGTAAGTTACCCCACTAAATAAACCTCCCTTTTAACTACGTGGAGTGGCCTTAATAATTTCACCAGTACCTCCGACCTTGGCTTCCTGAATGCCAGGACTAATAATGGTGTACACTATCATGCCCAATGAGAAAATCTTTACTCTGTGTGTGTGTGTGTGTGTGTGTGTGTGTGTGTGTGTGTGTGTGTACAGGCTCATGTATGCCATGGTGTTTGGTGGAGGTCTCTTTCTCCACGGTGGGAGCAGGGGATTGAACCAGGTGGGTTGTAAGGCACGTGAAGCAAGCACCTCTACCTGACTGTCCCTCTTATCAGTGATTCTGCTGAGGGATTATGCAGAGGTTTTGTTTGGGCATCCATTTTCTTTCTCAGAGGTCTCTTCCTGGAGTGGATTTGCTAAGCTAAAATGGTAACTGTAACTTTAACATTTTGAGGAACTGTCAAATCTTTCCAAAATGGCTTCTTCAATTTCCATTTCTTTATTTGAGGCTTGAGCTTTAGTTCTTTATGTTCTCCCCCTTGTTTATTGTTTTACCTTTTGTTTGGTTTTGTTTTTGAAACAGAGTCTCTATATTATGTAGCCCTGGCTGTCCTGGAGCTCTCTGTGTAGTCCAGGTTGACCTCAAACTCACAGAGATCCACCTGCCTCTACCTCTCCGGTGCTGGGATTCAAAGCATGTGCCACCACACCAGCTGTTTTCTGAGTTTTCTAAATATTGGTGACAGTGAGCACCATTTCACTTATTACTCATTTGTATATTGTAGTGAACTATCTAGTCACATTGTTGCTCATGTTGTAACTTGGCTATTTCTTTTATTACTGAATTATAAGACATTTTATATTCTGGGTGCAAATCCTATAGTTCAGATATATCCACATATGTTTTCTTTGAGACTTGTCTTCATTTCTTGTTTCATTTTGTTTTGTTAAGATTGTCATTAATCCCAGGACTTGGGAGGCAGAGGCAGGCGGAGCTCTGTGAGTTTGAGGCCAGCCTGGGCTACACAGAGAAACTTTTATCTCAAAAAAAAAAAAAAAAAAAAAAAAAAAAGATTGTCTTCTTTGGGGTGTTTCACTATGTTGCACTGGCTGACCTGGAACTCTAGCTCAGGCCTCAGACTCATAGAAATGCTAAGATTAAAGGCATGCACCACCCTGCCTGGCTATCTTCTTTATTTATTTATTTATTTATTTATTTTTTTGTCAGATGTATCTATATGTGTGGGCTCTCGGGTGCCATAGCACTCATGTGGAGGTAGAGGACAATTTGTCGTGGTCAGTTCTTCCCTTCTCCGTGTGGAACCCGGGGATTGAACCCGAGTTCAGATCAGCCTTGGTAGCAAGCGTCTTAACCCGCTGAGCCGCCTCCCCGTCTCGTGCTTGTCTTAGGAACGGTGCCTTTGGAAGCATCATTAGCGTCTGCCGTGGGAGAGAACACGGGGTGCTTGTTGTTCTTTGCCGCTGCAATGACAGACTTCTTGTCCTTTGTGGCTGTGTAATGTCCGGTTGGGTCAATGTGCCATGTCTTCTGTGTTCTCTTCACTTTGTTTTAGTTGTGAATGCACACTGTGTGGCAGTGAGAGGACAACCTGCAGGGTTCTCTCCTTTTGTCAAGGGGATTCTAGGAATCAAAGTCAGGTGGTCGTGTTTGGCGGGAAGTGCCTTTGCTTCCTGAGCCATTTCATCAGTCCCACCTTTTCTTTCTGTTTTTAAAGATTTATTTATGTCTTTTATGTATTTGGGTACTTTGTGTGCATGTACATCTGCACACCAGAAGAGGGCATCAGACAGTTGTGAGCTGCCATGTGGGTTCTGGGACTTGAATTCAGGACCTTCGGAAGAGCAGTGAGTGCCCTTAACTACTGAGCCATCTCTTAAGCCCCAGTCCCACATTTTCTATATTCATTCATTTAGCTAACTTCATAGCTTAGCTATGGGAAATTATGCCACCTTACATATGGCCATGCAGGTATCTCGATAAGCCAGTTTATTTAATTTTTTAAGGGACTAAATCATTGTTTCAAAAGACTTTTGTTGATATTTTGTATCAAAATAGTTGCACTTGGAGCTGGAGAGATGCCTCAGTAGTTAAGAGCTGTCTTGCTCTTCCAGAGGATGGGAATTTGGTTACCAGCACCCACATCAAGTGGCTCTTGGCTGCTAAGGGTACCTGTACTCACATGAACATTCTCACAGACACACATTAGAAATAGTAAAAATAAAGCTTAAAAAAAAATACCCAGAAAACAGCTGCACTTTCTCCTCCTCCCACCTGGCCCCAAAGAGACCAGAAGAGAGAAAAGTACAGAGAAGGCCAAAGGTCAGGATGTCCACCTCACAGACTTCGAGAACCTCGCCTGACAGTGGCAGTTGGGAGTAACTCTGAGAGAGCACCACACTGCCCGCCGACAGACTAAAGAATTCTCACGGCCATATGAGGGTAGCCAGAGTGAAATCCCCCAAAACAAAGTCTCGGAACACTGTAAAGATGTGGAAGTTTTACAGAGAAGTCATGGATGATTTCTCAGCAGTGATTGATACAAAGTGCAATGAGATGCCGCTTGCAGAGAAAGCAGCAGCATGAAGAGTGATGTCTTTCCTGCAGCTAAATCAGCAACCAAGACACTTTCCTCTCCTCCCCCGACTCTGTGTGTGTCTCTGTCTGTCTGTCTGTCTGTGTCTGTCTGACTCTCTCTGTCTCAGAAGGAGAGCACCGAGTGATGGCCTCAGCATTAAGAGGCACACATCCATTTTGTGAGCAGGGGAAAGGGAGTAGAGCTAAGACAAGTTTTGTCTCAGAGCTGGGGCTGAATGGTAGAAAGCTTACCTAACATTCGCAGGGCCCTAGGTGTAGAGAGGGAGGGATGTCAGCAGGTCCAACCATCTTGATTTGGTCACATCTGGTTTAAAAACTTAAAAATAAAGATGAAGTTATTCAAAGATAGCTAAAACTGAAAACCTCCACAGCCAAGTACTAAGTTTTGACTGGGCCAGCTTCCTAGAAACCCTTTCTATTCAGCTAGGACTTTATACAGAGCTTCAAGGTTTCCTATATCAGGGTCTTTTTCTGGGCTCTGCTGGCTCTCAGTAATGCAGACCCATGCTTGTGTTCTTCCTCTATGGAGGCCAATTTACACTAGGCTGAAAAGTTACCTTCCAACAGTGAGAAGGAATTGGATTGCTGCTTTCACACTGAAATTACTTGGAATGGTTGCTAGAGCTAGGTGTGGTGCCTCATGCCTTTAATACCGCACTCAGGGGCATAAGCAGGCTGATCTCTCTGAGGTCAAGGCCAACCTGATGTATATAGCAAGTTCCATGGCTACATAATGGGCTGGAAAGTTGGCCCCGAAGTTTAAAGCACTGACTTCTCTCACAAAGTATCTAGGTTCAATTTCCAGAACCCAGTTGGCAATTCACAACTATCTGTAACTCCCATTTCCCTGGGTCCAGTGCCCTCTTCTGGCCTCCATGGTGTGCAAACATGCATGCAAGCAAAATACTCATGCACATGAAATAATTTTTTAAACTCAATTTTAGAACTATCTAATAAGGAATGCACATCCATGTCTTGGGTGTGTGTCTTAGTTAGGGTTTCTATTGCTATGAAGAGACACCATGACCATGACCACTCTTACAAAGGAAAAATATTTAATTGGGGTGGCTTACATTTTCAGAGGTTTAGTCCATTATCATCATGGTGCAACATGGCAGCGTCCAGATAGACATGGTGCTGGCTCCATCTTGATCAGAAGGCAACAGGAAGAGGACTGTCTCACTGGGCGTGGCTTGAGCATATATGAGACTTGTAGCCTGAATCCTAATTGGTCTTAATAATAAAAACCCAGAGCCAGATATCAGGGTAAATGCTGAAAGATTATTAAAGGAGCCAGCACTACGGAGACTTCTTACCTCTACCAACTCCTCAGCCTGAAAGAGCTGAGCTCCTTTCTCCTCCTGCCTTATATTCCTGTCTCAACCTCCCTAATGCTGGGATTAAAGGTGTGTGTGCCTCCCAAGTACTGGGATTAAAGGTGTGTGCCACCACTGCCTGGCCTCTATGACTAACTAGTGGCTGGCTCTTCCCTTTGATCTTCAGGCAAGCTTTATTTGTTAGAGCATACACAAAATATCACCACAGAGAATTCAAAGCCACCTCTACAGTAACACACTTCCTCTAATAATACCACACCTACTCCAACAAGGCCACACTTCCTAATAGTGCTATTTCTTCTGGGGGCCATTTTCTTTTAAACCACCACAGTGTGCATTGTCCTTTTCCTAAATAGCTCTCTCTCCTCTAATGCTTAAGTCTATGTTAGAACTGTTGTTTATGTTGCTGTTTGAGACAGGATCTTACTATTTAGCCCTGCACAGCCTGGACCTTACTATGTAGACTAGACTGGCCTTGTACTCAGAGATCTACCTGCCTCTACACTTGAGTGCTGTCATTAAAGGTGTATGACTCTTCATCCTGCTTTTAACACTGCTTCATAAGAAGTCCTCAGCTGCACTTTTTAAAAGATTACAGTGCATGGTGGTAAGGGCCTATAGTCACGGTCTACTGAGGCAGAAGGGTCCATTGAGGCAGGAATTCATGGGCAGTATGGGACAACCTCACCTAACAGCAGTGTGTGACTAGGTAAAGAAGACTGGCCTATGTAAGATAAGTAGTAATGCAGTTGGTTTGCAAGCATGGCATGAGTTATGGCACAGTGGCAAGGAGGAGCAGAGGTCTGTGTATGTGTTGGTGTGGATTCCATTACTCGGTGCCTAGGTTTGGGATAGATCAGAGACAGTGCTGGTGAGGTCGCATCTGTCAACTTGCCTGATTTCTCTTCCCTCTGTAGTGGAGCACATGATCCAGAAGAACCAGTGTCTCTTCACCAGCACCCAGTGTAAAGTCTGCTGCGCCATGCTGATTTCTGAGTCCCAGAAGCTGGCACATTACCAGGTAGGCCATTCTGTTGGAGCCGTGTATTTACCTTCCAGGCTGAGTGCCAAGCCCTCTCCTCTCCTGTCTTGCACAGTGAAGGCTGCTTCTTCCTGTATGTTTGCTTGGGACTTGAAGATTGACTTAATTTCTGTGAATCTCATCGCTCCCATCCAAATCAGGATCATTGTATGTAGATCGTTCTGTACAGCTTGGTATAGCAGGAAGTAGCTTTGGCTTTATGCATACCTGAGTTTGAATCCAACTCTCTGACATCATCTTATAGGCAAGAAATTCCACCATGCTTGGCCTCAGCTTCTACATGTGTAAGCTAACAGTATTCTCATAGCTTGTTGAAGGTTAAAGTAATAGCAGGTAAAGGGCCTAGCACGTAATAGCAACTCAGGAAATGAGTCTTCTTCCCTCATCTTCTCATCCTTGTAAGTTTTGTCAGGAGGAGTCTGGTGTGTCATGGCTGCCTTCTCTATGGAATAGCATTTGGCTATCTTTGATCTTTCTCCTGGGTTCTTGCAGAGCAAAAAACATGCCAACAAAGTGAAGAGATACCTAGCAATCCATGGAGTGGAGACACTAAAGGGGGACGTCAAGAGGCTAGACTCAGATCAGGTAATACTGCTGCCTTGCTGAGACTGCTCGCTTCCCAAGCAGGTTGGTGTGGTGTGAGTGCAGGCTTTGATTCAAACTGACTTGGCTGCAAATCTCAGCCCTGTTGTCTAACGGGCAAGTCTTATAATTCAGAGCCTTGATTTCTTCCTCTGTTAAAAACAAGAATACTTCCGAGCATGGTGGTGTGTACCTGTGACCAAGGACTTGGATGTGGAGGCAGGAAGATCAGTACTTCAACGTTATCTTCTATTACATAGCAAGTTTGAGGCCAGCCTGGGCTACAAGGAGAGACTATCTCAAAACAAACAAAAAATACTATTATAGCTAGCTACCTTTCGGGACTTTTCCTAAGCTGAGAACAGACTTACAAAATAGCACCAACCCCGAAATCCGTCACACAGTAGTGTTCAGTAAATGGGACCATTCATTGTCGTGTTCTACACCAGGTGACTGAAGAAGAGCAAGAGAGGATGTCGAGGGAAGCTCAGGCTCTCATTTCCTGAGCTGTGGGGAAAACAGAATTTCAGCATTTGGCCTCAACAATCAAAGAATATAAATACCTCCTCTCATGATGAAGCAATTACATTTATTTTTATCTCACAATTACTATAAGAATTACCCTGAAACGAGCCCTAATTCCTTGAGTGTACTGTGACGTTCAAAGTATGGAAGTTAAATATGTCATGGGGATAGACGTTAGTGGGCAGGGCTCTTTCTCTTACTAGGTGAGTGACCTTGAGCAAGTCACTTAACCTCTCTGGAATTCACTCATAAAGTGGACATGATCTCGCCTCTTTAGTGTTATGAGGTAAAGTTTCAGTCCCCAGTAAATGCTCAGTAAATAAGAGGTTACTCTCCAGACCGCCTTCCTGCTCCAGGGACCGCTCCAGTGGCCAGTGCTTTAGAGGGGTCTTGCTTCCTTTCCAGAAATCATCTCGTTGCCCCTATGGCTTCGACCCAGAGAGGAATGATCAGTTCACTCTTTGCACTTCAGTTCTTCAGATGACTGAGTGGCTAGATGAGATCACAGCACCCACCACCAGCTAGGAATTACTAACCCCAAAATGTCTGCAGTTAGAAGGTTAAGAAGTGCTGAAGAAACAGCTTATTCAGGAGACAGACTTTGGGAAGATTAAAATACACTTTGTAGTTGGAACCTGGTGATTTACTGTGTGCTCGACACAGCAGGGTACAAGGATAGGTAACAAAGATAAGTCAAGCTGTTCACATCCAGCATTGCACTTGAAAGTCTCCTAAGCTGTCAGTTTAGGGTGACGAAGACTAGAAATCTGATAGACTCTAGGCATGCAGATGAGGAGCAAGGCTAATTCTTTCTGCATATACGTAGGAGGGGCCTTGGTGATTGTTCAGTCATTTTTTTTTTAAAGTAAAAGTCGTTGAATGGCTGATAGTAGACCTAAAGCCAGGCAGGATGGAGGAGGAACATTCTAGACAGTAGGAATAACAAAGCAAAGCAGGGAAGTAACAAAATAAAACAGGAAGTTATGCACAGAACCTGACATGAAGCATCTGGAGAGGGCTCTGCTTAAGGTGTGTCGGGGTTAACATGTGCAGGCGTCTTTATTGTCCACCAGCCCCCGGGCAGGGGAACCACTGGAGGTTTTCTGGATGCGCGATGGCATGATCAGACCTGTGTTCTCTCTCCCACCCAGAAGAGCAGCAGAAGCAAAGACAAGAACCACTGCTGCCCCATCTGTAACACGACCTTCTCCTCCCCTGTGGTGGCACGGTCGCACTACCTGGGGAAGACCCATGCCAAGAACTTAAAGCTGAAGCAGCAGTCCACTAAGGGGGCAGGTACTGGTTTCTGAGAAGTGCTTTTGAGACCCTCCCGTCCTCCCTCGGGACCAATGGCGGGTGCTTCCAGAATGCTCACTGGGGCCTCAGACATGGAGAGGTCGCTCTTAAGAGTATTGAAAACTCCACTTAAGAGTTGGGGATGTAACTCAGCTGGTAGAATACTTCCCTAGTGTTCACAAAGGTTTGGCTTTCATTGTCAGCCTTGCATAAGCCAGATGTGGTACACACCTGTAATCTCAGCACTCAGGAGGTGGAGGTAGGAGAATTAGAAGTTCATGGTCATCCTCAGCTGCCATAGGGAGTTACATGAAACTCGGCTTCATTAAAATTGGCCTCAGACTTGGGTTCACTTTATTTCCCTTTGTGTTCTATCAGATTTTCTGTAGAAGCTTCTTAACCCAAGCTTTTGTCCTGACCAGTGATTGTGACTCAGGAGTGCCAAAGGCCGACACACACTGTGAGCATTCTGTCACTTGCCTCTCCCACACCCACTGCTCTCACTGCTAAGTGTTGCTAGTTGACAGCTAATTCCCCATCTTTCTCATGGGCTCAGGTCATGCCGTGCTCACTTTGACCCACAAAGCTGCCTCTTGTAAAGGTGGGGGCTAGCCTTCAGAGCAGCACACTCTAGTGTTGCCCACCAAGTGTTTGCAGCGGCCCTGAACCACTCCCCAGCACAGGTGACCTCCTTATCCTGTCACCTCCAGCTGGCCTTCACTTTCTTCTTGAATTCTGAGGTTTTTAACTTAGGCTAACTGCAATTAGTCAAAAGTGGGAGACCTTTGATCTCCCCCTCTCTCTGTGTGTGCCTGTGTGTCTGTGTGTCTGGTGTCGCGTGCACTCTGTTGTGGACCAAAACCACACTATAGATAGAACTTCTGATCCTTTTTGCTTTACTGCACCATTGAAACAAGACAATGGTATTTTAGAAAAATCTACTCATAATTATACCCTTGAGCCATACCCAAATCTAGTTGCCCGCGGTATGCAACAGTAGAATATAGACTCTGAAGTCAGAACAGCACAGACCTAAGTCCTGGCGCGTTTACTTACCGTTTGGGCCTGCATTTGTACACCCATAAAGTGTCATCACTATCTGCTGCAGAGCATGTGACAGCCAGGTGTAATGGCAACACCTCAAATCCTAGCACTTGAGAAGTGGAGGCAGGAGGATCAGGAGTTGAGTGCACTCTTTGGCTACAAGCTTGAGACCAGCCTAGCCTATGTGGCACCCAAAAAATAAGAGGCAAACACTGCCCTTCCCCCCCCAAATCTAGGCTAGAACACTCACTAAACAACAACTGTTGTTATTATTGTTGTCAACAAGAGAAGCCAGTGAATGAAATCCCCTCATAAAATGCAACCGTTGACCAGGAAACCACATCTAGAGCAGTGGTTCTCAGCCTTCCTAATGCTATGACCCTTTAACACCTCCTGTTGTGGTGATCCCCAGCCGTAAAATTTTGTTGCTAATTCATAACTGTAATTTTGCTACTATTATTAATCATAACGTAAATATCTGTGTTTTCTAAAGGTCTTTGACCTTTCTGTGAAAGGGTCATTCGTGTCATGTGCCCCCCCTCCTGCCACACACACAAGGGGTCGAGACCTACAAGTTGAGAACCTCTGTTCTAGAGCATGCCATTGACCTTGTTTATGGTTGATTTGTTAACTTAGATGAAGAGTGACTGATTTTTGTCTATAAAGTGAGAGCTGGTAACAACAATAGCACCACAATGTTTAAGCATTAGGCCAAGGAAAATTATCTTTTTTTTTTTTGGTTTTTCGAGACAGGGTTCCTCTGTGTAGTTTTGGTGCCTGTCCTGGATCTCGCTCTGTAGACCAGGCTGGCCTTGAACTCACAGAACTCTACCTGGCTCTGCCTCCCGAGTGCTGGGATTAAAGGCGTGTGCCACCACCGCCTGGCACCAAGGAAAATTATCTTAAGAACAGAATTTGTAATGTTCTGTGGAACATTCCTTCTCCCAATACTTCTATTCTAAGCAGGAAATTATTTTCCACTTTGACTTTCAGCCTTTGCCACATGAAAATGTGGATTGCAATTAGTGCATCCACCATTTGTATTCTGCTGTTACTTTTCATTTAGCCTAATAGTTTAAGCATATGTTCATATTACTTATGAGTTTATTATAACTCTATTCCTGAACTTAAACATTTGTCTAATATAAAAGTGAAACATGCATGCTGTACAAAATAGAGATAAATTGAAAGGAATGTGCATAATTTTACCATTCAAAGTGCTGTTAACCTTCTAGGTTGCCCTTATAACCTTGCGTACCATGTGTATGCGTATATCTATTTGTGTAGGACAAAGTGCTAAACGGTCTTATTAATAAAAGCCCAGAGCCAGATATTGGGGTAAAAAGCTGAGAGATTAGAAAAGCAGAAAGAAGCCGGCCAAAGAGACCTACCTCCTGTATATCCACGCCTTTATGCTTTTCTGTTCTGCATTTCACTCCCTCTCAGCCCAGCTACATCACTTCCTCTTCCTGCCCAGCTCTGTCACTTCCTGTCTGTCTACAGAGACCTCCAGATCTTTATGGTTAACTAGTGTTGGAATTCAAGGCGTGTGTTCCCAGTGTGGCCTTGAATGCACAGAGATCCAGATGGATCCCTGCCTCCCAGTGATAAGAGTAAGGTCTGTGCTACCATTGCCTGACTCTATGTTTAATATAGTTGCTGGCTTTTTCCTCTGATCCTCTGATAAACTTTATTAGAGTGCACAATATTTTGGAGGACACAATACATCACATGTTTGTATTATATTTGTTTTATGTTCATCCAGGTTGACTCCATGTATATGTGCTTATAATTATAAGCATAGAATACATCATTTTCTGTTTCTCTTAAAATGATGCACATACATGAATAATTCCAGTTCAACATGCAAAACATTGAAAGAAGCAAGGAAAAGGCCACCCAAGTCCTGCTTCTAAGGAGAGCACTGTGAACAGTGGCTCCTGCTTATCTTTGCACCTGAGAGCCTGAGACAGGAGAATTGCTGAGTTTGAAGCCATTCTTGGCTACAAATAAGTTCTAGGCCAACCTGGGTTACAGAGTGAGACCCTGACTCAAAAGAATAAGCAGACAGATATATCTATATGCTACATGACATGCTGTCATGTATACGTGTGTATGTCTAGGTGACATTTTTAAATGCCATTATATTTATGTAGATTACACAAATTTTGTTTTGGTTTGGTTTTGGTTTGGTTTGGTTTAGTAGTTTTGTTTTTCGAGACAGGGTTTCTCTGTATAGCTTTGGAGCCTGTCCTGAAACTCGCTCTGTAGACCCAGCTGGCCTCAAACCCAGAGATCCACCTGCCTCTGCCTGCCAGGTGCTGGGATTAAAGGCATGTGCCACCACCCGGCCCACAAAAATCTTTCAACATTGACACGACCATATTGTATAATATATTCAGCTTCCTTATATATTGCTTCATGTAGTATAACATTTCCTTGTGTTGGGGGCTGGAGAGATGGCTCAGCAGTTAGAGTATATTCTACTCTTGCAGAGGTCCTGAGTTTGGTTCCCAGCAGCCATGTGTGGTGGCTCAGAACTCCTGGTAACTCCAGCTCCAGAGAGCTCCATCACCTCAGGCGTCCATGGGCACTGCTCTCATGTGCACTTACCACACCTAGGCACATGCAATTAAAAGAAAGTCTTTGATATAAAAAATTCCCCCAGGTTATTGCAAACTTCTTGTAGGTATCTTAGCAATCATACAAACCACTCGGTGGTCCTTCTAATGTTGAGTCTTTACATTCTTCTCTCCCTTTTCTCTGTTATAAAAATACAGTAGACGTCCCTGGAGAGCACACTTTGCATATCTCAGGTATTTCTTGAGAGAAAACACTAGCTCTTGCTGCTTTGGATGTCCATTAAACAGCTCCTCCAGCTTTACAGCTCACTATACTACTTCCTTCTAGTATGTTTTGTAACAACATTTATTTATTTTTATGTATGTGCATGTTTTGCCTGCCTATATGTCTGTGCACCATGTGCGTGTAGTGCCCACAGAGGAGGGCATCAGATCTCTAAGACTGGAGTTGTAACTGGTTGAGAGCCACCATGGAGGTGCTGGTACCACCATGTGGGGGCCAGGTCCTTTGAAAGAGCAGACAGTGCTCTTAACCACTGAGCCATCTCTCCAGCCCCACCCTCTAGTAGGTTTTAAAGAATAACCTTGGGCCATCAAGATGACTCAGTGGGTCACAGTGCTTGCCACACAGCCCTGGGGGCCTGAGTCTGACTCTCAGAGCCCACATGGAGATGAAAGGAAAGAACGGAATCACAAAGTTGTCCTCTGACCTCCTCCACACATGCACTCTGACATGCACGTGCGCGCGCGCACACACACACACACACATACATACACATCTGTGACTGCACAAACACGTATACACACATCCATAGCATTTACTTTGAAAAGGCATCTACATGGCTGTTTGAGTCCGCTAGAATCCAGCTCTGACCTGTCCAAGGGTTCCTGCGGGAGAGGAAATGATAGAGACCATGAGAAAGACAGAGACACAGGATAGCTTTGGGAGGGCCCTGGGTCAGTACCCAGTCCCTCGAAGTTTATAGCAAAGGGTCTTTTAAACACTACCCAGGGGAGAGGCAAAAGACCTCCCCCTTTCAAGATCAGAGCACACCGTACAGCCAAGTGTAGACCCTTCAAAACACCTGGTAACCACGCCCTCAGCCAAATCATCCCATTATGCAGCCCTGCTGGGTAAAGCAAGTTCAGATTCTCTGACCTTGAGTAATCTGAGCTTCCACATATGACCTACTTTCAACATCCCATGTTGACTATGAGAGGCTCACACATATGTCCATACCAGACTCTGATTTGCTGATTTCTTTTTTTAAGAAAAGATTCATTTCTATTTTTAAAAGTGTGTGTGTGTGTGTGTGTGTGTGTGTGTGTGTGTGTGTGTGTGTGTACATGTATGTACATGTGTGTACATTTAACTGCATAGGCCAGAACAATTGGATAAAGGCTTTGTGAGTCCCCTGACAAGGGTGCTGTGAATTGAGCTCAGATCCTCTGGAAGAACCATAGACATTCTTAACCTGAACCTACTCTTTAGCCCCTGACTCATTGAATTCTTTGAGCAGATCAGGAATGTTTTCGGATGATGAATGCATCAGTGGGAGCCTTCAGACCTACTTGCTGTACTCTTGAGCCTGGCAAAAGATGATGGCTCCAGGGTCACACAGTTTAGGGTGCTCTCACTGACTTGGTGATCTTGAGCAAGTCATTTTCACTGTCAAAGCTCAGTGTTCTCTGTAATCTGACAAAATGATACCTACTTCATTGGAATACTTCTAAGACCCCAGAGGGAAAGTGCATATATATGTGTGTGTGTGTGTACATACATATATATATGTATTACACATACATACATATACATACATACACACACACACACACACACACACACACACACACACACACACACACACATATATAATGGGTAATTGTTAGTGCCACTGTTCCCTCCCCTCACATTGCCGAGACTTTAGTGTAGTCTAACAGGCATCTCTGCCAGGTGTGGTGGCTCACACTTCAATCCCAGCCTGGATTACATCCTGAATCTTAGGCCAGCCAAAGAGCTACATAGCTATGTAGTGAGACCCTTTCTCAAAATAAATACATACATACATACATACATATGTACATACATACATACATAATAAAAGTAGTTTTTAATCTGGTTGCCTGGCTCTGTATAGACTCAGAGCTTGAATGTCTGCTTTAGCTCTATAACTGCAGTATTTTAAGGATGGAAATGAAATGTTCACACTTCTTATCCAACTCACTTTGATATTCCAAGAAATTCTGAGAGCTAGAGAGTCTGCAAGAATGTTTGCTTGGTCTGTCCCAATTAGGCAACTGGACAGCACAAGTCAGAGCTGTGTGCAAACACTGGGGCTCATGTTCCTAGAGCTGGCAAACAATCACTTGTTCATTGCGCTCGCTCAGATCTTGCCACCTTTCCCAATTAGAGAAGGCATTTATGGTATGACTCTTACGGGCAGTGCCCCATCTCCAAGTGTGATGGGTGACACCACCTTTCTTCCACCTCAAGCATACTCAAAAGCCTGGCACCTTCTGGGTTGTGTTTTCATTGTTTCTGTTTGAACTCTCTCACCACAGCTCTGTCGAAACACCTTACAAATCCTTTCCTTGTGGCCTTCACCTTAGCCTTGCACCAGAACAGAGAGATGCTAGACCCAGACAAGTTCTGCAGCCTCTGCCATTCAACTTTCAACGACCCTGCCATGGCTCAACAACACTATATGGGCAAGAGACACAGGAAACAGGAGACTAAGCTCAAACTCATGGCACACTACGGGCGGCTGGCGGACCCTGCCGTCTCTGACTTCCCAGGTAAGAGGGCCCGGCTCACATGCAGAGCTGGACCAGGGACTGAGCACTGGAGCTCCCTGGACTACCCAATGTGTGCTGCGTCCTGCATCCTCTAAAGCACATCAGCATGGCACAATAGTGCATACCTGTAATCCCAGCACTTGGAAGTCAGAGACTGGAGGATCAGGAGTATGCATATGTATACCTATATACAGACACATAAGCAATTAATAAATAAGTGGAAGCAAGGTCATTGTTCTTGTTGTGAGTATAGCCTGCCAGTCTGAGCTCAGGGCAGGGCTGCTTTTGTTGGGTTAGGGGTTTAGGATTTGTTTTGTGTCCTGAGCCCATGCTGGCCTTAAATTGTGTGTATCCAAGGATGACAAGCTCCTGACTGTCCTGCCTCCACTCTCAGCTGCTAGATTACAGGGCTGTGCCTCCATGCTTGGCATAAGCTCCGTCACAGCAGCATCTTAAGAAGCTGGGTGTGTGAGCGCTGGCTCTCTTCTCCCCCAGAAGCGCATTGGCTGAGGCTGCAGCAGCCAGAACGGACCAGTCTCCCTCCCTTCGCTGCCCACAGGAAACCATTCTCCAGAAGGCCCCCTGGGTCAGAGGCCACAGCACAGGGCCCACACAATACTGTACCCAGCCCATGTAAACGTGTGTGCATCCAGAATAACTTCAGCACATTTAACTAGACATGTGCATTATGAGAAAACAATCCATGAAAAAAGTCATCCTGGACCAAAAGTGGCATTTCCACAGGCGGGTAAACTGATCCGCCTGTGATCTCTGTAACGAAGGCTTCAGGGCCCCTAAGCAAGTACCTTTACCTACTGCGTCGTCCCACTTCCCCTTAATGTTGTCATCAAATGAGTGTCCTTCACTGTGGAATGGGAAGATGGCCTTTCTTTTCTTTTCTCCAGTGCTCTGCCCCGAGTGTATACCCAGCCTTTACTTGTTTCTTAACATTTAACTTTAAACATATTGTAACTCATCTGGACATTTTTGTAGCATGGTCTACTTGACATAGAAAAAATTTCAATGTAGGAGGACTATTTACAGTGTACCAAGGAAATTATTGTAAGGGATCTGGAAGGAATCTGATCTCAATGAGAATTAGACTCTCAGTCGGGTGAGAAGATGATCCACCTCAGTCTAGTTGTCTTTTGCTCCTGCCCAGGGCGTTTGCTGTGAATCAGCGAGAACAGTGAGTGCTGTGTGTTTCAGTTGTCCCCATGAAACTTGCCTAAGCAGTGTGTTAGTTCGGGTCAGTGGCTGAGTGAGGTGGCCGCTGCCTAATCCCAGCACTCACAAGGCTAAGGCAGAAAAATAGTGAGTCCAAGCCTATCCTGAGTTGCATATTGAGTCTTGTCTCAACACACACACACACAAGAAAAGAGAAGAAAAGAAAAGAAAAAAGGAAAAAAAAGTGGTGGCATTTGTTTGTAATTTGGGGCAAGGTGATAGTGAGTCCCAAGCCAACCTGTGCTGTAGAAATAGTTCAAGGCCAACCTGAACTACATTAGCAAGACCCAGTCTCAGAGCCCTAACAGACAGGTTCAGTAAGATATCATTATATGATAAATATTAAAAATCAGCTTTTCATACACCAATAACAAAATTGCTAAGAAAGACACAGAAAAACAATCTCCTAATGACTATAAAAAAATTAAGGAAGTAAATGTTGACTTCAATGAAAATTATTAAAGTAATCAAAAGCTTTTGAAAAGGGAGCTGGGAGATGGTTCAGTTGGTAAAGTGCCTGCACCATAAGCAGAAGGACTCCGGAACCACATGGAAGCTGGGTGTGGTGGTGCACATCTGTACCATAGCGCCAGCAGAGCAGACAGGTGGTCCCTGGAGCTAACTCACCAGCCATTCTATCCAGTTAGTAATTTCTGAGTTCAATGAGAGAATCAGTCTCAATAAGAACAATAGAGAAAGATACCTCGTGTCAACCTCTGAATTCCACAAGCATGCGTGGGCTCAAAGTACACACAAAAACTAAATAAATAAAATTGAAGACTGAATAGGACAGTACACATGTGAGCCTGAGGCAGGAGAATTGCCTCAAGTTCAAGGCCTGTCTAAGCTACACTCTTACTGATCTTCAGGTAAGCCTGGACTCCATGGCAAGACCCTCTCCTAAAAAACAAACAGGCAAACAGGCACCACCATTGCTAAAATGGGGGTGTGTCCTGTGGTGGCAGAATTAATATAAAATAACCATACTATAAGTCATTTGTGGATTTGGGGTAATTCCTATCCAGATGCCAGTGACATTCTTCATAAGAATAGAGAACTACCCTAAGTGTGTATGATGTCGCACATGACCTCCAGCAACAAAGGTAGCCTTGAGAAAGAAAGCAAAACTTGAGGCATTGCAGATTTTCCAAACCTCCAGCAAAGTGAACCAGGCATGGCAGCACTCCTCAGAATCCAGGACTTGAAAGGTGAAGGAGGAAGGTCAGGAGTCAAAGGTCATCCTTGACTGCATAGAGAATTGGAGGTCCGCTGAGTTACATGAGACCCAAAAATGACTTCCCCTGTAATCCCAGCACTTGGAAGATGTAAGCAGGATGATGAGGAATTCAAAGCCAGCTTTAGCTATGTCCAGGAGGGGCTTTCCAGTTGTATGTGTGCTGCTTGTCCTATGACAACTAGCACCCGGCATGCAAAAATAAGTCCACCCTTCACATAATGGGCCATTGGTTTGCCCTTTCTAGCTCTGTGTCTGTTCCATATATATATATATATATATATATATATATATATATATATATATATATATATGTTATGATTCTCATGAGAGCATTATAAGGTATGCAGAATAAGCAAGTATGATAGATAGTACATGCTTATAATCTTGGCACTTGGGAGGTGAGACTGGAGGAACAAGTTGAAGCCTAGCTAGCCTAAGATACTATCTCAGAAGAAATACATGACCTATGGTAGACATTGTGGCCTGGCATGGTGATGCATACCTATAATCCCAGCACTCAAGAGACTAAGACAGTGTAATCACCATGTCTTTAAGGCCAGCCAGAGCTACATAATGTAGTGAGACCTCATTTCAAAAATAAAATTTTAAAAATTAGCACTAGAGAGATGGCTCAGCAGTTCACACCACTTGCTGGTCTCAAAGTGGGTATATCAGGTGGCTCACAACCACCTATAACTCCAGCTCCAGAGGATGTGACTCCCTCTTCTGGCATCTTAGGCACCTGCACACATTACATACAAGCAGGCAAACACATGCACATAAATTAAATTTTTAAAAAATCATTTTAACCTTTTGAGGCTGATACTAACAGTAACCCAAGACATAGCTATTTTATCCTAAGTATTATAAGTATAGAGTAGTATAATTAATTGGTTTATGGTTGTGAAAAGAAGCATTGGAAGGAGAAGGTTTTCACGACGTTACATGCAACAGAGCCAGGGTTCCAGTCTGACCTCTTTGTCCTGACTCACTGCTGGAGCCATGTGGCAAAAGGCCACTGTGTCACTGGAGCAGCCCTGGTTGTGAGGCAGGGCGTCTGCATCCCAGTATAAAAAGACAGGTTGACCTTCATAGCAGCTGCACTCCTTAATTACTGTCACGGCAATCCTGAGGCGAGTGGGCCTTCCAAGAGATCTCTCGGTGAAGGGTGCCCTTAAAGAGGCCACTAGGTAAAGCAAAGGTCACCTCTGTTCTGTGGTTCTTTATTGTTATAAGATCTACTTATTTTGTGAAGGGTGGGGCACACACATGCTGTCGTGCACACACATGCTGTGGTACTCATGGAGACGTCAAAGGAGAACTTGGAGGAGTCAGATCTGCCCTCCTACCTTGTGGGTCATGAGGATTGAACCCAGGTCTTCAGGCTTGCATGCAAGCTTCTTTACCCACTAAGCCATCTCATCAGCTCATACTCTGTCCTTCTTTGTTTACTCAGTTACAGTCTAGTCTGGTGTTTGCTGGAACTAGGAATTGGGCTTGCTTGATGAGACTAAGGAGGTACAGTGTTACAGTCCGTGCCTCCAGAGCACCCAGGACCTCTCAGCTCCACCCACCGTCTTCAGAAGGTCTTTTGTGTGCTCTGTGCAAAGCAGCATTCCTCCAGATCCTTCCTGCTGGATAACTAACTCTTCATTTTGATGTGTGTTTCAGCTGGGAAGGGCTACCCCTGCAAGACGTGTAAGATAGTGCTGAACTCCATAGAACAGTACCAAGCTCACGTCAGTGGCTTCAAACACAAGAACCAGTGAGTAACATCCTTTGAAGAGTCTTCAGCAGGAGTCTGGGGTTTCTCAGTCAGGTAGTTCCCCGCTTAAATGGAATACAAGAGCCTTTTCTCAGTCAGCAGAAGATAAATCAGTTAACAGGCAGTGTCCCCTGGGTTTCTTCCCTCAGCTCTCCTCTAGCATGGGGACGGACTAGGCTGAAAGGTTCCGTAGAGATGTACAGATGATTTCCTTTGTGGTTTCCCAAGAGTGCCTGGATTTCTTGGCCTGTAGCAGCCTGAGTAGGGAAACATGATTTTCCCCCACTGCTCTGAGGCCCCCTTTTCAATCAGCAGTCTGTGCAGCAGCTCCCTCTACAGCTGACTGTCAAACGTGGTAAAACACCCAAGTTCTGGCCACAGCAGACCCAGCCCTGCTCTCACAACTTTACAATCTGATAGCAAGAACAAAGCAGATAATCTGCCAATAAAAATTGTGGTGTGGGTGTGGTAGTGCACACCTGTAATCCCAGCACTTAGGAGGTCAAGATTATCCTCAAATACTAGCAAACTCAGCCTGAGATGCATGAGATCCTGTCACAGAGAGGCTATGACAGCCCTCACAAGGGAATTAGTGAGTGCCAACCTTGTTCTCAGTGTTCCAACACACTTGAGCAGCTCAGTATCGGGCGTTGTCCGTAGACAGCCTGGAGCCAGCCAGAACTTCGGAGCCACTCACCCTTGAAATTGGTAGTGTATCCACACACAGTGACACACCCCTGCAGTCCCGGGATTTGGGAAGCTGAAGAGAAAGATTGAGAATGTGAAGCCAGCATGGGCTACCTAGCAAGATCCAGGCCAGCCTGGACTAACTGAAGTGCTGCAGCTCTGAAGGGAAAGGTATCCCAGGGGTTGGGAATGAAGGAGTGAGTACCACAGAGTCACACCACACAATAAACCTCACACGAGAGATTTATTGGGAGGAGAAACCCCAGGAGGGTGGCTGCCTCTGCTCAGGCGAGAAGCAGCAGAGGACTGAGCAGAAGTCAGGGTTTATGTAGTGTTTCTTGGGGGAGGGGGGGGCTTTCCAGGTGAGATTTCCAGAGTGGAGATTGGTGGGATTTCAAGTCCTGAGCTTAGACTTTTTACTCTGTAGAACGGGGACTGGGTCCAGCATTAGGGAAGTTGGAGTGTTCTGTGGGTGGATCTGACATTCAGGGGTCCTCGGTGTGCTTGCCTCCAGGAGCTCCCAGGCTGACCAGGAAGGAAGGGAAGGTGGCTGGCACTGGTTTTGGTTTTTGCTTGTTTACTGTTGTGACCTTGGGTAATTTCAGTCTCGACTATTTCTGTGAAACTACAGCTATTGAACAATTGAGTTTCATTCGATCCTCGGGGAGGGCTCCAGGAGAGCACCTCCTTCACCTAGCCGCAGCCAGGTGGAGTGACTGCCTGGGTCAGTTCCACATCCTGGTGGCTGCCAACCGTTCACCTTGCTCTCCTGCTGCCACATGGAGCTCAGTAGCCTGCCTCACTTAACAAGGCTCTGTAAGGATCAGAGGCGACCCTCGAGGTGTCGCTATCAATAAGTTTGCTGTGAAGATCAACTTGCTTGCTGGGCGGTGATGGCACACACCTTTAATTCCAGCAGCTGGGAGGCAGAGGCAGGTGGATTTCTGTGAGCTCAAGCCCAGCCTGGTCTCCAGAGCAAGTTCCAGGATGGCCGGGGCTGCATACAGAAATCCTGTCTTGGGGGAAAAAAAATTTTTATTATATTTTCACTTGTGAGCACACTATTAAGAAGGTATCCAGTCCCCTGGAATTTGAGTTACAGTCATTGGTGAGCCCACCAGATGTGGGTCTTCTGTAAGAGCAGTACATGTGCTTACACACACACACACACACACACACACACACACACACACACACGCGCGCGCGCGCGCGCGCGCGCGCACACGCGCGCACACACACACGCACGCACGCACGCACGCGCACACACACACACACAAGGAATTATGTTTGTTGAAAGTAAATGCAACTCAAGATCATCATATTAAGCAGAATAAGCCAAACTCGGGGACAGACATAAGAAATCATGTTTTCTGTCCTTTGTGGACCCTAAATCTCACAAATTTCTAAAGGAACATTTTAAGCCAGTTGTTTAAGCTTTCTGAAGTTCAGCTTCATACATAAAATGAGGGTGCTGCTCTTTGCCATGCAGAATTGACATGAGGTTGAAATGGGACAATAGCCTAGCATTCAGTGGCCCTCAGTAAAAGGAAAGCCACCCTGCTCATTGTTCCAGCATGAGGAGAGCCACACTGCCATTAGAGCAGCTACCGAGCCTACTGTTACAGGCATGCCACACACTCACCCTGTGCCTTTGTTCTTCTCAAATTGCAGGTCCCCCAGAACAGTGGTGTCACCCGTGAGCCAGACACCAGTGCAGACGCAGCCCCCTCCGAAGGACTCAAGTGTGGCGGAAGACTAGAGAAGGTGTTTCTGCCCGCCGAGCCTTGCTGGGGCAGCCACAGCCAGTTCCCGGTGACTGCGCAGCCCTTGGCTCCCTCGTCCTCCTATCTAATAGCAGAAGAATATGGAGGCATGAGGCCAAATTGGGCTGCAGACAGCCTCTGACTGGGCCAGGATGAAGCGCCTCCTGCCCTCCTCTTTAGTGTGGTCCTGCAGGTCATGGGAGAGGAGACGGGGCTCTCAAGAAGACCTGAGGTGGTGGTTTAGAGGTTAGCCTTTCTGGCCCCTCTGGGCGTATGTCCTGCAGTCCCAGTGTCTGTCCTTTCGAGGTCAGTCTGGAGCAAGTCCCTGCAGATGAAGGAGAGCACCATCTCTGGGCTCCAGGAATGCCTGGGAAACTGCCTCTTTTCCTGAAGACTTTGCAGGGCAGCAGATACAGTAGACCAGAGTGGAGCTAATGTGTCGTTCCCACCTTCAGATGCGCAGACTTGCCTGGTGTAGACCCTGCCAACTGTGAAGTCTTCTGGAACACATGAACACGCGCGTGCACAGACACACACACACACACACACACACACACACACACACGTCATCCTGAAGGCACTGCCATCTCTGCTGCCATCTCTCCAGCTCCCAAATGGTGCTAGTGGGCATCTGCAGTAGCTAGGAGCCTGAGGAGACCTGAGTGCCCAGTGGGATCATGGGAAGCACCAAAGGAAGCCTTTGTCCTTTGTCAGAGATGCTCTGACCCAGGGTCATGTGAGAAAGTCTCCCGCCTGCTATGTTCCTTGAGGATTCTGTGCCCTTGAAGTCAAACTGCCTCCCGCCAGCCTACTGAAAGGCTACTTGGTATTAGTTCTGTGCCCTTGTGTAGTAGACTGTCCCACCCCGGTTGCTGTGATGCTGTCCTTCCCCTGTCATCCTCGAGGAGATTTGGGGGACCCAGGAAGGAGGGCTGGAAAACTGGTGTGAGGAAAGGGCCCTAGGCCCTGAACTGAGAGTTTTTCCTACTGCTGTTTTGTGACCTCAGAATCCACTGGGAGTGGATTTTTTTCACATAACTGGAGCAAGGATTCTAGAAAGTATCCCTAAGGCTCCTTGTCATGGAGGTAAAAAAGCTTCACTTGTTAATGCAATTGGGTGCCGTATAGGAATGGGGGCTGGGCTTAAACTTAAACCTTTGGCCACTCAACCATCCAAATAATTTTTTCTGTGAGCCAGGCTGTAACTTCAGATCTAGGGTTTATAGCCAGCCATGTTGATACTGCTATAGTGTCCCACACACAGTCAGAACCCCCAGGGTCCTCAGTAATGATCTTACCCCAAGAAAAGTCTCCCTGGTGCCTAAACCCAGCCGAGTTCATTGACCCAGACACCTTCATCTTTCACATAGGCCTCTTAGAGGTCTTGAGAGAATCTAAGCTTTGGAATCTGATTTATTCTTGAAATAGTCATTCTAGCTACTGAGTGGAGGACTGCAGGGAGGCCAATGAAAGCTGTATCTTTAAGGCTTTCTCCAGGGTCATTCCTACAGGGTAGATCTCTACCAACCTCATGTCCAGGATGCTGTGTCTTAAATTCTGAACATATGAGTGGTTAAGGACAGGTGTCCTCTTCCTGTTCAGATTAAAGAGCTAGAGGAGTTTTCACAGAGCTTCTCATAGGCTTTCCGGTCCTTGGAAGAGCCTTTTCTGTGATTTGGAAATGACGGGAAGGAGTGCTATGCCTTAGAAACTGATGTAGATGGGCCAGACCAAGCAGTCTCAGCCCCGGTTCCCTGCAGCTTACTGTTCTGGGCACCTGCCCCTAGCCAGCTACGAGAAGCTCTTCTTGGCTCCTAGAATAGGTTCTCAGCTTTCCACTTTCCGAGTATAGGCCACCTCAGAAGTTTTCCCAGAATTCTGTGCAGCCCAGTGTGTCAGAATTCGTCAAGATTACTAGGTAAGGAGGTGAAGGGTAAGGTCACAGATGGGCTGACCAGCGCGAGCCCTCGTTTCGTGAGACCTCTGTCTAGATGCAGGAGTCCCCGCCAGCTGCCTGTCCAGCACTGCTGGTGTGGATCCCTGGAAGGAGCCGGCTCTTGTCCTCTGGAGGCACATGGGAATGCCCAGCGTGCAAGCACTACAAGCCTGGAATGTGAACAGGCTGAGAAATGAACATCTGGTCTATATGTTTTGAGGTTTTATTTTCTAGTTTGTTTCATTTATCCAGGCTGGTCTCAAACTTGTCGTGTAGAAGACTAGCCTTGAGCTGCTGATCCTCCTGCCTCTACCTCCCTAGATCTGGAATGTGCTCTTACATCCACTTTCATCCGTGTTATTGTGTATATGAGAAGTTCTTTTTGTTTTGTTTTTTTCCTTGGAGAGGGGGACAGGGTGTCATTATGTAGTACAGACTGTCCTGGAACTTGATCTGTAGACCAGGCTGGCCTCAAACTCAGAGATCGCCTGTCTCTGCCTACCTAGTGCTGGGATTAAAGGTGTGTGCCACCACCACCTGGTGAGAAGTTCCTTTTTTAATGCTGTCTAGTAATCCTTTATTTGAGTCGGTCACAGCCGAGCCTTTCTACCGTTGAAGGTTGTTTCTCACTGAGGATCATCCCAAATAAAGCTGCTGTCATTCCGTGTGCGATCCTTCACTCACAAGGGGGATGATGGGATGCACAGTTTTTAGCCACAGTGGTTCTGATGTTCCCCTGTTCAGTATGTAAAGGCCCCAGTGGTCCCATTTCTTGTCTGTGCTAATTGTTATCAGTCTTTAAAGTTGGATTTTCGATGGCAACCAGGAAGGTGGACTCAGGGCCCAGTCTTCTAATATAGGGCACTCTACTTCCAGCATTAAAAAAAAAAGTCTACATAGCTCTGGCTGTTCTGGAACTTGTGTAGACCAGACTGGCCTCAAATTCACAGACATCCACCTGCCTCTGCTTCCTGAGTGCTGGGATTTAAAAGCCTGAGTCACAATAGACAGCCTGTTTTCAGCATTCTTTGTAAGACCATATGTGGGATTCAATAGCCTGGAATGATGTCAGGTATCAGTGCACAGGTCCACACACAGCAGGCAAGCCTCAGAGAGGGCTTCCCCATGGTTCTAGTGACCCAGGAAGGTCTCACATAGGCATGGGCCCTGGAGAGGCAGTGTAGAGCAATTCAGAGAACTCAAGCTCTGGAATCGGGCAGCCAGGGCTCAGATGCCAGATCTGCCCCCATAAAGCTCTGTGATCTTGGTTAGTTAGCCCTCATTCCACCCCCCAATATGAAACAGTACCTACCTCAAAGCCTCTGCCTGTGCCAAGCCTGAACTATAGAGCAAACCCATACATCCATTCTTAGCACTGTCCATAAATGCTTTAAGTCTAGAAACATCAAAACCATTATGAAAATGGGCCAGCTTTGGCATGCAGTGACCCATGCTGGCCACTAGGTGGAAGGCACTCCTTGTTTTGCTGGGCAGGGTACACCAACCCCAGGACCTTAGTGTTTGATTTAACGCCAAAGAGAATAGGATAGTTATGGTGATATTTTATTTGTACTGATATGTGATTTTAATTGTATGTTAATAAATAAAGTTGCCCAGGGATCAGAGCTATTAGAGCTGGGCATTGGTGGTGCACGCCTTTAATCCCAGCACTTGGTAGGCAGAGCTAGGTAGATCTCTGTGTTCAAGGATACAGCCAGCATCAGAGACATGCCTTTAATCTCAATACCAACCATGGAAGACCTGGAGGTCTGTTCAGCTAGGCAGTGACGAGGCAGTCATGTCGTTGGGTTTACAACCAATGAGAAGGCAGAACAGAAAGTCTATATAAAGAAACAGACAGGAAGTAGGTCTCTTTCGGAGAGGTCTCTTAGCTGAAGAGGCTAGCTGCAGCAGGCGGGTAAGGCTCTTAGCTCTGATCTCTTGGCTTTCTTTGCATTGGTTCTGTGTTTCTTATTTAATAAGACGGTTGGTTACATCTACAGTCAGTCTTAAGTTTCTGTGTTTGATATTTCACTTAACCCTCAAGACAACTGAGAAAAGAAAGTTTCACAGGAAAAACATGAGCCATGTCTCAGGCGATCTTACACAACCAAGCAGCCTTGGAAAGACCTGACCCCATGCTCCCTATTTTCTTTTTAACATTTTTATTTATTACTACTTTTATGGTTGCTTGGGTACATGTGGAGGCCGGAGGACAACTTGTAGGACTTCCCTCCTCCTCCCGTGAGGTGCAGAGATCAAGCTTGGGTTAAAGGGATTTTAAGGCCCCTGAGCCGTCTCGCCGGCTCCCAATGCTTTTTACACAAGCCGCCGCCTGCAGCCAAGGCTACCCACCTGCAGCCAAGGCTACCTTGCCTTCCACCATCACACTTCTCTTGAAAGGCTGCACAGTTAGTCACCTGCCTAAGAGTATCCTGGTGTTGACTGGCTTGGGATCCTCTTACTTTAGTTTATGACAGGGTCTCATGTAACCTGGGCTGACCTCCAACCCTTTATGTAGCTAAGGTAACATCAAACTCCTCCTGTCACTACCTCCCAAATGCTGGGATAATGGACATGTGCCACCACACTCTTTATATCTTGTTTCATTTGTTTTTATTTTTTGTTTTATTTGAGGCGGTATCACTATGTAGCCCAGGCTGGCCTTGAATTCACTATGTAGCCCATGTTGACGTCAACCTCACAGCAATCCTCCTGCCTCAGCCTCCCAAGTACTGGAATTCCAGTACTGAGCCACCACACAGGTTTCTATATCCTTTTGTTCTTTTATCCAGGGTGCATTTCTCCTTCATTCTTACACGCTATAGTCCAGGGGAAGAGCTCCCACTCTATTCCAGAGGGTGAGCCTGTAATCCAGACTAGGCGATCAGAACATAAATTTGGAGCTGTTAAACCAACACAAAAGGAACCAGCTAAGAAATGAGAAGAAATATTTCTGATGAGTCCCCTATCTAGCCATGTCCAAAACTAATAGCCCAGAACATTCTAATTGTGACTTTTCCTTGAATCTATTCGCTGCATTTACTTCCTATTACTTTCAATGAAGAGTTCTACCTAGGGGCTAGGGACACACCTCAGAGATGTAGCACTTACCTGTTTTGTGGGAGATGCTCTGGCTTCACACCATGCAGCTGGGGACAGGAGTAAGGGTCAAGGATGGGGAAGGATAAGGAAGAGGAGGAGAAGGAGAAGAGTGCTTGGGAGAAGGCAGATGATGGCCTAATACAGCTGCTCTTGTCAGCCTGGAGACTTCTGTGCTTAAATATAAAAATAGCATTGGCCCCCAAGGCTAACTTGGCTGCCTTCTGTGTGCCCAGATGCCGTGTGTTCCCTTTAAGTGCTGCCCTTAATACACTGTGTCAGGACAATCTGTTCAGTGGCATTTTTTGGGTTTTGTTGTTTTGTTTTGTTTTGTTTGTGAGACAGTTTCTCCCTATGTAACCCAGGATGGTCTGGACCTCATGATCCTTTGGCCTCAGGCTCCCAAGTGCTAGGATTATAAGTGCACACCACCACCACAGTTGGCTCCTAGAAGCCGCTCCCTTTGGGCAGAAATTGGGTCTTACCACACTGGATCCCTGGTGCATAACAGAGAACATGATGTTTTCCTGGGTGGGGGTGGAAGGGCAATTGTTAGGGTTTTTTGTTTGTTTGGGGGTTTTTGTTTGTTCAGTTTTTTCTTTTGAGACAGTCACTATGTGACTAGACTGTCCTGGACCCCATGGAGATCCGCCTGCCTCTGCCTCCTGAGTGCTGGGATTAAAGGCGTGCACCTTGTTTTGTTTTGCAGTACTGGGAATTGAACCCAGGAACTCCAGCGTACAAGGCAAGTGCTCCACCACTGAGCCACTTCCCCAGCCAGAGTCAAGACTTCTTAAAGCAGAGGAACCACTAGTGGCTGCACAGGTCAAAGGGGCCAGGCTTCAGGGGAGGGTAGAGTTGATGAAAGGACCTAAAAGAGGTGGGTTGTTTCAATGATGACTTCCCATGATGCACTGCAGCATTGTCAGCAGTCCTATAGAGATGGGGAAGACCTTTCCCCAATCCCTAGGATGTTGGCTGGCCTTATGATTGGCTTTGATGGAGGATATAATGTCATGACTGTTAGCATTACTAAGGACTGTGCTGGCCTGTCCTTAGGGTCCTGACAGGATACATCCTCAGCTGCAGCAGCTAAGAGCACCCCCTTGATATAGATATATAGGATATAGAGATGATAAGAAAAAGGGTAGATTAATGAACCTACTTTTAAAGAACAACAACTTGTTTAAAATGTTTTACATTGGTATAAATTTTAGTTTATTGATACAAATTTAAAGTTAATTTTGTTATCCTGTATATATTTCTATTCTTGTTTGAGGTATTATGTTTATGTAACTCATTTAAAATTGTAATGGATAATTAAGAAATAGATTAATAGTCATCTATGATAATCATATTTATAGCCATGTTAGATAAGTCTTCTAGGTATACATAGATATATTTCAGAATAGATAGGTAGTCTTCAAACACTTCAAAGACCTACAGAATATGGCATTTAAAATGTTTTAAAAATTTAGACGTTCGGGGGCTGGAGAGATGGCTCAGAGGTTAAGAGCACTGACTGATCTTCCAAAGGTCCTGAGTTCAATTCCCAGCAACCACATGGTGGCTCACCCATCTGTAATGACATCTGGTGTCCTCTTCTGGCCTGCAGTCATACATGCTGTATACATAATAAATAAATAAATCTTTAAAAAAAAAAAATTTAGACGTTCTACGAGACAGTCACATGTTTTGGTTTACAACCAATGAAAAGACAAAATGACTATAAGACGACTTACACACAGGGAAATAGCTCTCTTTCGGGAAGCTAAGATCACTGCAGGAGGAAGGGTGAGATTTTAGCTCTGAGCTCTGATCTCTTGGCTTTCTCTTTTACATTGGTTCTGTGTTTCTTATTTAATAAGACAGTTGGTTACATCTACACCCCCTGTGAGCATTCACTATGTTCCCTTATAAAGGTGGGCCTTGCCCACCTCCTGTCTCTTTCTCTTCCACCATTCTTGTCCCCAGGGACCCTTCTCTGCCCCTTCTCTTCCTCCTCTTCTCTCCTCAGCTCTTATCTCCCCAATAATCTCTCCACATGAATTTTGTTATGTGGCATGACTTTCTGGGGCCCCTTGGCTCCAACCCGCCAAGGTCACCTTTCACCAGTTTTAAATAAATTATAACAACGACATGGTGTGACTTTCAAGGCTGGGATGTAGGAGTCCTTACAGCCTTCCTCCCTGCCACAGTGAAAGAGTCTGGGTTGAGCCGGAGGAAGGTAAGCAATCACATGAGGAAGCCCTAGCCAGTTTCACACAATGGCATTCTATATTTGTGTTTTGTTTTTTATGGTATTAAGGATTGAACCTGGGCCTTGTTGATGCTAGGCAAATGCTTTACCACTGAATTAATAACCCTAGCCCAAGGAGGTCATCTTGGATTCTCAGAACAGACAATCCGCAGCATAAGCAACCCTGATACAATCCCAGAACTCTCAAGCTGAGCCTAGCTAATCTATGGAATTGCAAATGAAACAAAATTGTCTAAAGTCACTGTCTTAGTTAGGGTTTCTTTCGCTGTGAAAGCAACTTGAGGAGGAACGGGTTTATTTT